ACACACGGATCGAACAGACCCACAGAGAAAGGAGTGAGAGAAAGGGAAAGGAGGCTGCGAGGGCTTACCATCATCTTCTCAAAGAGGTCAACGATCTCCTTCTCCGACAGGCTCATGGAGCGATCGTCAAAGAGAGGCTGGGGGAGAGGCATCTCGCCCACGGAGGACTGGGAGTCTATGGGGTGCTGGATGAGAGGTTTCTCCCGCTTCATCCCTGACTTCCGAAAACTGGTGATCCTGTCACGCTGGAAAGCAAGAGGAAGAGAGGACTACGGATGATTGCTGAACACCGCAAAAGCATAACCACACTCTGCATTTTTAGGTAGTCTGGCTAGTTACTGTTTTACACACCTAACACCTCAGAAAAATGTCATGTACCAAAGATAAACAAAAGATTAGCTATTAACTTTAAAGGCCCGCTTAATGAAATCTGCAACCTCTGTATCCATTCATACAGATCTTGCAGTTTGACTCTCTGTATAATGTATAAAGATCATGACAGTCTACTAAATCAAAAATAATACCTGTCCCTTAAGGAGCCTAACAGTGGAAAAAAGGTATATAAATCTTTATCAAAATTATATCCCTGCTTGCCATGAAACATGAAGCGAACTCAGATGCAACCCCGTGTTGCAAAAAAAGAGTGCCCTTAATTAGTAGCAATGACTTCTCGATACCTGGCCGTTTTCTTCAGCATCATCATTTTGCTTATTTCCACTATTAACTACGAGGCACTTGCCTGATGCCCAGATTAACTTCAGCCTAACCTAATGAGTGAACTTGTGCAAATCGAGTCAGACCCAGCAGGTGCTACTGATCCGCGATCAAAGAAGGATCACTTTTAGCTTTTTTTTTTAAAAAAGGTAACAAAGTAAACTTATGGTACAAAAAATCAACCTTTTGCATGCTGTAGTACAGATGCTCCAGGGTCATTAATGTACTTCAAATTAAGCTTGGATTTCTCACAGCTTTCTCCAAGCTCGTCTATTTAAATTAAGCCCATTTGAGAGCTAATGCCAATGATGGAAGTTTAAAGAGGGGAAAATGGCTTTTGGCATCTCCTTCCGTTAACTTACCTGTGGTGCAGCCAGCAAGAGAGCACACGGCAGTTTCAAAACCACTGCCAGAGAACTGAACTTGCTTTTGTCTCACGAGCAAGATCAGAAACAGACAATAAACAAGCCAGCCAACAAATCGTTCTGCTGCTGGAGAGCTTCCGTATTCATCAAGTCGCAAGGAGCTGATGAATACAAAGCAAATTATCCGCACAGAGCGGGAAAGCAAATATTGGACAGTACAATGAAGTGAGTGGAAGCTTAAGTGTTACTCGGCAGCTACGGGACTGTCGATTGCACACTGAAGACAAACAGAAATGCAGGCACAGCATTTCTCACTTGGTCAGAGAAAGCTCCAAAATCCATGCGATGTCACTGTTAGAGCTGATCAATGAAATGGGAGAATGGATCATGCTTTCTGGAGGAATGTGCATTCAGGTGAAATGTAGATAAGGATGACAAGTTAGAATAACACACTGACAGTGATGCAAATATTTGTGGATATCTAAATGGAATAATTAATGTATTTAAATGACCTCGAAGCATGTTTTAAAAAAGTCAAGACCCTTTCCATTCCTGTCTCCAGTGACCACTGGCCTACAGTGGAAGAGTAACTATACTGAACTAATTTACTGAACTGAGAACCTAAAGATGTTAATTTGGAAAGAGTTGTATTCAAACGTTTTTTAACAAACTTGCTTAAAAATTGTTGAGCATTTAAACATCCACAAATATTCCGAATTCAAACAAGAACTCCCATGCATCTGAATTACTGAAGAGAAGAAAATAAAACTGAAAAAAATCATTACAATACAAAACTGGGAAAACCTTACCACATCATCAGCCAAAGTTTTTATGTGTATGTTCTGCAGAAGGGAAGGGACATTAAACAAATGAGATCCAACTTAAAAAAAAGAAATTTACAAGATGAGTAAGTGCTCTTGTGTGTATTATCCCTATACACACAAATATACACAAAAAAAAACAAAAAACATGCAAAAAGAATAGATAAGCCCTTATTCCCAAGGTCCACTTCATACCTCAGTGATATACGGGGTATATAACAAGGATAACAGGTGATAAAAAGTACCTTTCAGCCACACAAAAGGATTTTTCTACAAGTGGGTAAAAAGATCCCTGTATGTTAAGCATTTAAGTGATTGAATGACATAATCCTCAACAGACAGTCCACAACAACAGATGATAAGGAAACGGAAAAACAAAATAATGCACAAGGATTAGGTTTTCATTGAAAAAAGATGTCAAATTAATTTATTTTTGCCCTCTCCGATATGCATGTTTGATCAGAACATCTAAGGTTATCATCCATTCATAACTGTAGACAACATTCCATCTGGGGTCACCATTATATTAAACAAGGTGAAACACTCCACCATCTAGTGGTGATGATCGTGGCTTACATCTTTCAACATCTCAGCTCTGGAACAATGCGTCTGCAGCATTTCAGCACCTCAAAAATGTCACACAACCACATCCACCTTAATGTATTCCCCATCCGAGAGCAGAGTGCAGAGGCACAGATCACATCGAGCAGTCACAATCTTCTGAAAAAAGCCGAAGGAGTTGAAAATAATCGTATCTTGGTCGCGCCTAACGGACTGCTAGGCAGTAGCTCTTTACTCACGGCAACATATGATAAACACCCAGTAAGCAACCTGTCTAAATGGTTTAATAAATCAATCAAGAAAAATATAAGGAGAGGAAAAGATTTTAACAAAATGATTAAAAAGAAACAGGGGCCATTTAAATGGAAAAAGTACAATGAATTGCAAGCATGTTAAAAAAGGAAATTATTAGAAAGCCAGAAGAGATTAAAAGAATATTGTAAAGGAGACAAAAGTATTTTTAGTATTACAGTATTTAGTAAAGAACAGTATAGCATAAAATGAAGGCACACTACAATAATGGTCAACCTTTAGAAACTAAGGGAAATTGTTGATGGGTTAAATGACAACATATCTCAGTCACAGGTAAGATTTTTCTACTAGCTAGTAAAAAGATCCCTGTTTGTTTAGACTTGAAGAAAGACAATATTCCATATTAACTTATATTAGCACAGAAGTGTTACACATACTAGAAGCACTCCAGGGCTTGGTAGCATTCTCCAATAGCACTTAAGGTAACAAAGACATATTATTCACAGCCTGTTAGCAAATCTCATCCAGCGGTCACTCAAGACAGGTGTAATGCCCAATGACTGGAAAACTCCTAACACAGCACCCACACATACAAAGGGTGACAGCTTTATGGGATGGAAAGCTATGGAAATTATCATTAGTACTAAGCTAGAAAATCATCTATGTACAGTAGCAACAGGATTCTAGGGGATGGTCTATGTGCACTGTGAAAAGGGAAATCTTGTTATCATGTTAGAATTCTTTGAACAAGTAACAGAATACAAATAGAGATTTTTGTATTGTATACTGTATTTAGACTTTCAGAAGATCTTTCATCTAATTCCTTATATGAGAATAATTTTCAAATTTCAGATGCTGATGCTGAAATTTCTGTGACCTACAGAAAGTACAAGCACAGGCAGACATCCAGGTTTTATAATAAGTGGAGTACCACAAGGACCTGTATTAGGAAACTGCTCTTCCTAAATTATGTTGGTGATCTATACTTTAGCATGGTCAGTCAATCAGAGTGCACTGTAAAAGCAGCAAAGAAAATTCAAATAAACTTTGACAGTACAACAATGGGAAAACAAGTGGCAGATGATGTTATAATGTACACAAGTACTGCATGCTGGCAGAAAAAGCAAACTATAGATAAGAAAGGAACACTGAGCTTGCAGAAGCTAGTAAAAGACTAAGGTGATTATGCTGATACATCATTTATATTGCATCTTCAAGATAGCGTGTAGAACCAGTAAAAAGGCACACAATGCTGGATATACAGTTAAGTATAGAATTCAAACCCTTGGATATTATTTCTATTTAAAATATATTGTTAAAATGCATTTAGAATACAGCGTACCATTTTGATTCTGGCTTTTGTCCTGTTATGTATATAATAGACCCCCTAAGTACATGTTATTTCACTCATTCATGTTTACTAAATGGTCTTGTTAAACGCAAAAAGATAAGAAAGAAAGGCTTCAAACAAGAGGCACCTTTTCAGACCATCTTGCTGATCTGGCTGCTAGTAGCAGGGAATACATTTTCTTTAATTCCTTGAAAAGGTGTGCACTGAGAAAGTTTGTTCAGCGTCTTTTTATATTATACATCTAATCTTTGAAGAACACCTGACTTAATTACTTTAAAGTAAAAAGAGGACTAAAAAATAGTCTTGCATTACATGATAAAATTAATCAAAAACAATAAAAGGTAAGAGAGATAGTTATACGAGCAGGGATAATTGTAACTGCTAATGAAACATATGCCTGTGAGTAGACAATGCCATCCAAACGCCTTAGCTTTGCTTAAAGTATGTTTTAAGGGCTCCTCATGCAGATGTTGATTTTTTCCCCATTGTCTTGAAAGACAAAGCATACTTTTCAAAGGTATGTCACTTTACTGTTGCTCGTAATTTGTAAGATGTTGCACACAGAAAAATATCCATTGCACCATATGTTGCTTTACACTATAAAGTGCTAATGAGCTTAAATTCAGCAAGTTGTAGACATCAAACTGGCTTCCTGCAGTTATATTCGCCATGTGTCTAATATAAGGCTATTGCTCATAGTCTTAGGAATGGCTGGAAACCTCTTAGAACAGTGCCTCTCCCACTGATCTCAAGGCCATAATGCCTCTCTGTGTGGCTGCAGAATAAAATCATCAGACATTTAAGCTGCCAAATCAATTTTCTTGTCTCTGCTACAGCATGCCTTTGAGGTATCCGAGTTCTAAGCTATGGCTGTTAAATGCTGCACATGGGCTCAATGATACAGCACAGCTCCTGAATCTCATTATGATAGCTCCTAAGGGAAGCTCTCAAAATAGTCCAGACTATCAAGGGAAGGCAACACCAAAGCTGCTCCTATACCACCAAAAATATGAAATGATATATATTCTTTACTTATTTCTATCTTATACATTTTGGGAAAAAGAATGGGTCAATAAATCACCATTGCTCCTGGCTTAGCGACAGGCATCACTTGTCTTGATTACTGCCCAGTCCTCCTCCAGAAGCTGAATTCTTACAGGGCTGTGGAGCAGACCCCTCTCCCCTCCTCAGGGGGGTCTGTTTCTGTGAGAATCAGTTTACGTCTTTGTTTGGCAAAGTGGATTCAGCGATGGCAGCTGTTCCTGGGTGTGAGCTCAGAGAGAGCTCCTTTCAGTGCCAGTCCACTAGCATTTCTGCAACCAGTGGAGCAACATTCATCATCTTTATGCCTTTCTTTGTTATTACTGTACGTTATTAAGCTTTCAAGACATTTCCCAATTATCTATTATATTATCTTCTATATACTGAAGAATTACATTCTACAAATTATGTGAACTATTGTAATATACATAATGATATATGAATATTAAAACAATATCAAAACTCCAAATTTTAATTAAAGAAACAGCTGGGACCCAAAACCACTAACTGCCAAAAAATTACAATTACATTTTATTGCACTTAGTTCATTATATAACCTAAACTGAAACCATGTGATAAAATTAAACATACATAACTACAGTGCTTTTCACAGGTTTTTAGGCATCAGAACAGTGCTTGCTGTTAGTCTAACTGCTTCAGTAACATTATTAAAGTAAGATAAGAAAGATTTCATTTCCTTCACAAATTACAAATATGAACAAATCATCTGAGTGTATAAAGTGACAAATTTGTTTTGACTCTCTATGGTATGCCTCTGCTCTGATGGTAATGTAATTTCGTACAAAACTGATCTGAAATTAATAGAGGCCTATAAAATTCTGCGACTGACTTATAGACATTTCACATCTGAAAATCGTGTCTAATAAAATGATTTCATGTGCCCTTATATAATCAAAAGAAGATTGAACTGCTTTCATGTCAAATAAAATCAGACAAGTTTTATTCTCTCCTATGATGATAAAGCAGTTTCATAAAATAAAATACATGACCTAAATAAGCAGAGATAAGGATGCTATTATCCCTCAGCATTTGGCATTTTGTAGCTAAGGTTATGATAGTGACAGTACTCTTAACTATATGTATGTGTATGTCTTTTGAATAAATATTAAAAAATGGATTATTTGATGTTGAATAAAATAAATGAAATATGTATCTTTTAAAACTGTAACACAAAAGGATTTTTGTCTCTCTTCTTTTTCTGACAATTTCCAGGTACCTATACTGTATGTTGAAGAAAAATATCACATCACTACACAATTTGTGGTTTCGGCCAGTAGTTTCCCTCCCCAGAGCTGCTGACCGGCGATGCTGATCAATGCCTTTAATCGATCTGCTTGTGTGTTCAGTTTTTTTTTACCCTTTTCTGCATTCTGCAGTCCTAGGTTTCAGAAATACTCTGTGTCAAGAGTGTTGCTCCATCACTTTGGGATACAAAATCTCACCTCGGAAGAAGTGATTAAAAACATCTTGCTTCCTTATTTCCGTATAAACACTCTTAATAATGTTTCCGACAGACACAGGTGGGGAAGACCGTTGATCAGACACTCCCAGTTCTCTTCTGCAGAGAGCCGACTGCTCCCGTTTCAGCCCCCACGGGCTGCACTCGGACACCACTCTGCATCTTCTGAATACGTGTAAAACATGCCTCACACAGAACATTCAAACCCATCAGACTGTCATTAGGAACCGGGCTGGAACAAAAACAAACCACCGCAGGACCAGAGCTGGAAACCACCAGTTTAGAGCAGCTCCAAAGATAAACGCTTTAAGCTGGGGAAATCTCTAGTTTTGCTAG